CCCAGCTGGTTGCACCCCGAAACCTCGCCTGAGGTCCCCGCGCGCTTGCTCTGGCGCCAGCCGCCGCAGGCTCCCGCTCTCTCCGCCCGTCTCTGCGCGCTCGCTCTCCTCCTGTCGTCACCCCCCTCGCCCCATGTTCATCGCTCCTTTTGTTCTTTTACTTTCTGGTTTCCTTTCACGGTCATCTCCTGTGCCTGGGAAAGCATTTCTTTAAAGGTGCGTTTAGGTTGAACGTGATGTCCAGCTCCTCCAAAACACCCCAAACTGTACCTTTCAAAATCTAATTTCTTCGCAGAAGCTGTGAAATTGATTTGAAATATAATTTGCAAGACTTATCCAAAAAAAAAAAAAAAGGCATAAAACCCATTTTTGACCGCAGAGCTGAGTTCTGAAAAGAGCACAGCACGGCAAAGCCGGGATGCCTGGCGTCGCAGGCGCTGGCTGCTGATGCTCGCTCTCACACGTTTCCAACTTTTGCTCCTGTTTCTGCCCGGTAGCTTTAATGGTATATTTGCTGTTTGTCTCATTTGTTGTGATGCTTTTGCTCTGTAGGCCTCATGCCGAAGATTTCAGTGCGGACTCCTCGTTTTCGCAGTAAGTGCCGTGCATGAATGTCTTGGCCGCGCAAGGTCTCGGCTCCCCGGGATCTGGTGAAAACTGCTGGGAACGGGCAAGTGCTGACACCAGACTTGCCCGCTCCCGGATACAGCTTCTCAGCCCTGGAGAGTGCCTCTCTCTCATGCTGCGCGAAAGCTGAACACGCTCTTCAGAGGGCAAAACGAAGCCGAAATTAAGCGTTTCTGTGCCGTGCATGCGTGCATGTTCTCCCATCGGCCCAGCGCCTGCGGCAGTCCCTGCTGCCAAGAGCAGTGGTCAGTCCTAACTGTGACGGTGGCAATGGATTAATTGGCTTTTAAGAGAGCTGAGAAGCTTTATGTTACTCCGTCACTGTTCTTGGCATCAAGGTGGTACGTCCAAGACCAGCAAAGCCTTCTGAAGCAAAAACGGTTCCCCAAAAAGAGGGAAACCGTGAAGGGTGTCTGGGCTCAGGGATGGACGAGCTTCCTCTTGGGGAGGAAGTGATATCCTTGGCAGCACATTGGTGATTACCCATTAGCAATGAGCTCCGTGTGCAGACTCTAATTAAACAATCCAGATTCATCAGCAGAAGCAATTACAGGAGCAGACTCACGAGCGTCAGTCTCCAGTGCTGCAAAACAAATCGGCCAAACAAAGCCCAGCATGTTATTCAGTTGCTTCTTCCCTTTCTGCTTTTTAATTTTATTATGATTGTCGTTATTGTTGTTGTTGTTATTAAGAGCAAGCGGTAGGGCTGGCGGGCAGCGAGCGGAGCGGGGCCAGCCCCGGGGGTCCCGTGCGGGGGCTCCGGGGCTGCAGGGCGAGCGCCCCTCCAGGGCAGCAGCAGATTTCGTTCTTGCTGCTGCCGACTTTGTAAGCCTTTCCTGAGCCGCGTGTAAAGGCTGACCGAGCCCTCTGCCCCCGGCTCCCTGGACCCTCTGTGCGGTAGCTTATGACCTGCCTGTTTTCGTCCTGAACACGCAGAAACGTTTGTGCCTGTGTTTTCAGGGCAACGGTCACCCAACGGTACGACAGTGAGTGACAGTGGGACTGTGGGAACCAGGGTGACATTATCAGAGTCCAGCTACGGCTCC